CATCAGCCTTCCTGCTCCTATGACGCTGCTTGGCCTGCTGTGTTCATCCAGTTCTACACCTTGTTATCTCAGATTCTCCAGCATCTGCAGTTCCTACTATCTCTCACATTGCTGTGGGTTTGGAGTCAAACACATGGGCCAGACCGGGAAAGGCTGGCAGATTTCTTTCTCTAAAAAGCATTTAGTGAACTAATAAGTTTTAGGACAATTAATGAGTTTTTCAGCATCATCATTAATGTTAAATTCCACCTAGTGTTGTAATGGGATATGAACCTGAGTCCTCAAGTGTACCACCTTAGGTCTCTGATTACAAGCCCAGTGAATTACCATCAGACTACAGCCTCCCCAGCTACATTTCTTTGACGGGGCTTTTTCAAGCTGTTTCTCAGATGCAAGATTATTAACAGCATATTATAAAAGCTCTAAAATCTTTAACAAAATACTATATAACTTATTGCTGGCACAAATAGGTTGTTTTGATTAGATTTTTAAAAATTCATTTCTGTCGCTTAAAACAAAGGGGTAAAAACGCTTAGTTTTTGAGATAATGTGAGGATGCCCGAGTTGGCCTGGGGTGGAAGTTGGAAGTCACACGACACTAGGTTATAGTTCAACAGGTTTATTTAAAATCACAAGCTTTCAGAGCACTGCTCCTTTGTCACTGACGTGACTGCCAACTCAGTTTTTGAGATTATCTCATTTCCAGTTGTACAAGTCATCAGCCTTAAATACACGAGTGAAGCAAAATACAAGGCGTTTCGCTATAAAAGCTGTCCCAATTGCCCATGTCCATGGGCAATTTTAGTTTGGGAACTACGTTAATTGAATTTGAGTGGAAATCTGAACAAAAAGACCAATTCGGTAAATCGTGGCAATTTTGAGCCTGTGTCTGATGATGACGACTGCGCCTTCAGCTGAACCCCCAAGCTCATTTGGGGCCAAAGGAACAAAAATGGAACAAAATCCAGGACGCCCCATTCCATGTTGCGTTGGAATCGTGAATTTCCTGTTCTTTTATACGTGCTGTGTAAACCATGCAAACATTGGTAATGACCCTGAACGATTCCCACAGAACCAAACACCTTACCTCAGAGTTGAATCTGAGATGGCAGACATTGCAAGAGATTACTTGCTTCTTTTTAGGCGGCAATGTAACGCCAAACGTATGATTTATTACTGCCTTTTGGACTGGATCCATCTGCAAGTAAAAAAATTTTGAGCCATGATTAGCTTTGTTAAGTATATTGTAGAATACACTGTTTCATCTCTTTCAAACTCAAGCAATAACAAGAGGTTCTCCTGACAGCTGAGTTGGCAAAAGCTCAGCTGTATAGTCTTGGAGATCCTAGGTTTGATTCCCGTAGGATCATCTAAACTCGATCCTCCCGGTGGGATACCGATTGGATTGGATCACTCGGTTATTTTTCGTGCAGGGACATCTCTGTCACACAAGCTCTCTAACTCCTGCCTCTGAAGGATGGGGCTGCTCATTTATTCATTAATGAGATGAGGGCGTTGACTGGTTAGGCAGCATTTATTGTCTATCCCTAATTGCCTAGAGGGCAGTTCAGAGTCAACCACATTGTTGTGGTTCTGGAGTCACATGTAGACCAGACCAGGTAAGGATGGCAGTTTCCTTCCCTAGAGGACATTAGTGAACCAAACGGGTCTTTCCTGACAATCGACAATCGACAATCGACAATGAATTCATGGTCATCATTAGATACCTTTATTCCAGATATTTTATTGAATTTGAATTCCACCATCTGCCATGGCAGGATTCGAACCCGGGTCCCAGAACATTATCTGGGTCTCTGGATTAACAGTCCAGCGATAATACCACTAGGCCATTGCCTCCCCTGGAAAGATGGCTGGAAACCTGAGTGCCACAACTTTCTGCCCATGGAAGTATCTAGGACACAAGGTGTTTGTCCAGAAATCTTCATGGCACCACCAATGGTCCTACTGAATAATCTGCGCAAACAGGCTAATTGTGGAGAACAACATATTACCTCCACTATGCTGAAACCCCTACCCCAGGGGTCAGAATTTACCCTTTACAGAGCATTTGGGTCCATCTTCTGATTGTAATTTGCCATTTCAGTGTGCTTTCATTTTGGACAATATGAAACCGAGTGCTGTACACTCTCTGGTTTAGGAATCATTTATACTGTCTTCTCTTATTTCTAATGGCTCTGTCCCTTTTTTTTATTGAACATGAACATCAATTGTTCAAATTATGAAGTGTCTGATTGTCAAAGACTGTCAGGTGGGATATTGATGACAAACCACTGTAATGTGACATGCCTGTTGTCTGTGAGCAGACTGTTACAATTCTAACTGATGTTACTACTTGATAAATCAATAAAACAGAGTCATCTAAATATAACATAGTTTGAAAGATTTTAAAATGCATGGGAAAACAAAATCCCAATCACTCCCCAACACCATCACTTTATGGTTACACAAAAAGGAGAAATTTTCTTTCCCTATTAAATCTGTAGGTTTGATTGCTTTTTCTCAGTTCCACCTCCGTGAACTGTGAAACCTTTTTTTTTAATATTCACTCACTGAAGAGTTCTAACCAAACACTGCTAGTCTGGAGGTTTCACAAATGACACTCTTTCGCTGAGGTAATGCATTCCCTGAACTATTCTGAAAAACCTACTTTCTAAATTGGCATCCAGCTTCAGTCAGATCTCATTGAAACTGCCCAAAACTTTTGGATTACTGGGGTCTTCTAAGTTAAAATCAATCTTTGATTATTGTAGATCAAAATCAGACTAATAACTTGCAATGTTTTCTCTCTACTATCGTAAACCTCAACTAATGTTCCAGGTGGACTGTAGTCATCTGCCTTTTCACACATACTGGTTCAATTCATGGTTCCAGAAAGACTGACTTGGTTACTTATTAAACCCTTTTACAAAAAAATAGCCCAACACCCATATGCCACTAGTGTGAAATCCAAACTTAAGACAAAGTAATAAATCACACACTTTTCATCACAATATCAATACAACTTTTTTTTATTCATTCACTGGATGAGGCCATTGCTAGCTGAATTTATTGCCCATCCCTAATTGCCCAGAGGGCAGTTAATAATCAACCACATCACTATGGGTCTGGAGTTACATTTAGGCCAGACCAGGTAAGAATGGTGATTGTTAGACTCTTAATTCTAGATGTTTTATTGAATTCAAATTCCACCATCTGTTGTGGTGGGATGCGAAGGGTCCCCAGAACAATACTTGGGAGTCTGGATTAACCATCCAGTAATAATACCGTCATCTCCCCATACAATGCCACTGTATCCGCAGGAAGTTCACTCACTATCCAAGGAGGCACCATGCCTGCATCAAAGAAGAGTAATATTAGTTCAAATTCAAATGCTGGCATCGTAATTTGCTCACTACCTCACTCCATGCACTTGTCCGACCTGCTCCAGACCCGTCACTACTTCTGTCTTGCTCACTGCTACGCTGCCTTGTTATTCACTATATCCTGGAAGTGAAGGAGCCAGGGTTGAACAGGAGAGTAGAGCGTTGGAGGGGAGGTTGGGGGTGAGGGTGTTGAATGGAGCGGGAGAGTGGGTCACTGAGTGGAGGGAGGGTAGCTTGGGCATCAGTGACACCACACATATGCACATGGATAGGGTCTGTGCCAGCTTCTGGTCCTAGCCATTCATCAGTGTCAATGGCGTTGACATTGTGTGTCAGTGTGGTGGCAGAGAATACTTTATTAATATATAAGGGAGACTTGTTGGCAGGAAGCAGCCTTGTTTGGGGAGCTAGTGGTTAACTTTAGGGCGATCACGTTATTTAAATAATGCAGGAAATTGTGGACCAGGGTAAGATGAAGGCACAGTTCGTAGAAATTGTTCAGCTAATTGACTTGGTTTATTTGGTCTGACACTGCCCCTTATGTTGAGCCATTCTAAAACTTTCTTGAACCACACATTTGACAGGATTGTCTTAATGGTTAGGTGGAGCTGCTACTTGGTCAATGCAGTGAACCTTTTCTTACATTTGACAAGGAGAGTGCCAGCTGGGTGGGTCGCTTTCCCCAAACATTGGGCTCAAGTCCCAATCCAGAACTTGGGGTCAAGGCTCTTATGTCTGTGCAACGCCTGAGGGATTGCTGCACTGTCAGATTTGCTGTCTTTCAGTTGTGATGATAAATCTGCATGACAGGATGTGAATTATCCTGTGGGAATATTTTGAACTGCAGCCATGGTACTGTCCTGGCCAATACCTTTCCTATAATCAGCATTGCAAATAAGATTATCTGAACATGATCAAAGTGCTGTTTGTGGGATCTTGCTGTGCACAAACTAGGGCTGCACTTTCTACGTTAGAATAGTGGCTGCACTTCAAAATTATGTCTTTGGCTATAAAGTGCTTTGAGAAATCCAAACATTGAAAAATGCTCCATAAATAAAAGTCTTCTTTTCTCTCTCTTTTTCAAAGAAAATGTAATAAAACTAGTCCCTTCTGAACAAAGATTCTGCAACCATAAGACCATAAGGTATAGGAACAGAATTAGGCCATTCAGCCAATCGAATCTGGTCTGCCATTAGATCATGGCTGAATATGTTTCTCAATCCCATTCTCTTGCCTTTTTCCTATAACCCTTGACCCCCTTACTAATCAAGAGCATCTCTATCTTTCTCTTAAATACATTCAATGACTTGGCCTCCACAGCCTTCTGTTGCAATGCATTCCACAGATTCACCACCCTCTGGCTAAAGAAATTCCTCCTCATTTCAGTTTTAAAGGGTCATCCCTTCACTCTGAGGATATGCCCTCGGGTCCTAGTCTCTCCTACTAGTGGAAACATCTTCTCCATGTCCACTCTATCCAGGCCTGTCAGTTTCAATGAGATCACCACCCGCACCCCACTCCATTCTTCTAAACTCCACCGAGTACAGACCCAGACTCCAGAACCACTCCTCATATGAGGAGCCCTTCATCCCCGGGATCATTCTTGTAAATATCATCTGGACTCACTCCAACGCCAGCAGCACATCCTTCCTTAGATACGGGGCCCGAAACTGTTCACAGTATTCCAAATATGGTCTGATCATAGCTTTATACAACCTCAGCAGTACATCCTTGCTCTTGTATTCTAGCCCTCTTGAAATGAATGCTAACATTACATTTGCCTTCCTAACTGCCAAATGAACCTTGTTAACCTTAAGATAATCCTGAATGAGGACTCCTAAGTATCTTCGTGCTTCAGATTTTCGAAGTCTTTCCACAGTTAGAAAACAGTCTGTATCTCTATTTTCCTTGCCAAAGTGCATAACCTCACTCTTTCCCACACTGTATTCCATCTTCCACTGCTTTCCCCCTTTCCTAGACTGTCCACATCCTCCTGCAGCCTTCCCACTTCCCCGCTACCTGTCCCTCCACCTATTTTTGTGCCATCTGCAAACATAGAACCAATGCCCTCAGTTCCTTCGTCCAGATTGTTAATGTATAACATAAATAGTTGTGGTCCCAAAACTGACCCCTGTGGAACTCCACTAGTCATCGGCTCCCATCCTGTAAAAGACTCCTTTATCCCCACTCGCTGCCTTCTGCCAGTCCGACCCTCTTTCCATGCCAGTAACTTGCCCCTAACTCTACATAAATGGCTCAATGCACTCAGATATGACTTAAGTGACAAATGTCATCAATGGTAGTTTAAAAAGAACCAACGTTGTCAATAGTTGATTTTTTTGGCTATGGGAACTGCTTTTCCTGGGTGTGACCATATCCACAAATAATGTTCCAGTTGATTGTGTAGCAAGGTGCCTCATGAAAAAGAAACAGCAAAGGCAGATCTCCACAGAAATGCTGGTTTGAACGTCCTCCGGTCTGAAACTGTAGTTCCTTGGATGAAGACACGTGGGAATAGGTGTGTAAGATGCATCTGTCTTTTTACCCACTGCCTGAACACCTTCCTTCCTTCAATTCAAAGCAGCAATGGCATGGTCCAATGGAGTGCAAATGCTGAACAGAAATGGCAGCTAACTTTTTGCTTCTATGCACAGTGGCCGCTCCTCAAGTAAGTTAGATTTGCTGGAAATTCCCAATGCTTCCAAGGTGTAAATTTCAAATAGTGCCCTGCTTCAGCTATGAAAATTTGAAATTTGCATTTTCATTTTTTGCATAATCATTGTAATCATCTACAAATACAACTCTTACCAAGAAA